TAGCAAACCTCCCAAGTGCATCCATAACTCAATAGTACACGCTATGGCGTTCACCATTTGTTTTATATCATAACATTGATACATTGGAACAAGAGTTCCCTTTTATTTAACAAATCTTACGTGATTAGAAAAAAACATGCGCGCGCGGAAAATTAGTGTTAGCATTTGCTCACGTCAGCAGCAGGCACCCATGGGCAAATAGTAGATGCTGAATTAACCAATCAGAGCGCGCGCTTTGCTTTAGTTATGTTATAATATTCTTTGTTCTTTGTGGTTCATTTTTATTGGATCAGGTCAAAAGAAATCCAATAGCAGTAGTTTCGTATATTTGCAGCGATATTAAATTTGTAGAATTGATAATTCTTGCTGAAAAAGAGAATTCATGTGGCTATGATGAACTAGTGGTCTACAATGTTGTCGTGGACCCACCAGTTGATAAGGTGTACGGTATTTTACGATAACTTGTCTCGACTTCACTTTGTTATGACAATTGTTTCATACTGTACTTTTTAATACACTTTTGTCGTGTACTATATTTTTGGTGAGATTTTTTTTTTTTTTTTCTTTTAAGAAAACATAATTAAAAAAAGGTCATACTGTTCATTACGGTGTTAACTTTTCTATCTTTTGGACTTAAACATAGTATCCCAATTTTTTTTTCCTATCCTAAACCCTTTAACTACGTTTTGATTGGGATCAGGGAAGGTAAAATTGCCTTTAAAATGATTGGTGTCATCTGTTAGATATTTAAATTATGAATAAATCGACAGATGGTAATCAGTTGCTATAATCAAATGTTCATTTGCCTTTTTTTTTTCTTTTTTTTTTTTCAGGTTCATGAACGTGCTCACACAGGAGAGAAACCGTTTAAATGCCGAGTTGATGGCTGTGATAAAGCATTCGCTACAGGGTATGGTCTGAAGAGTCACACACGGACCCACACGGGAGAGAAACCTTACAAATGTCCACATGATGACTGCGGTAAAGCATTTAAGACGTCAGGAGATCTGCAGAAACATGTGCGCACGCATACAGGTAAGTTAACAGAGCTGAAATTCAAGGTCAATGATTGTTCAAGCATCGGCCAAGGCGTGGCTAAGATCTGCCAACGAATCCGGGAGGGTTACACTGTACAGCATCCCTAGTACGTTCCCTACTGTTATGTCCACATTTCCACTGTGTTTTACTAACAGTTAAATAATTTTCACTGGATGTACGGTGATTGATTTACGCCTTGTGGTTATTTCGGATTCGATCATTTTTCGAGCGTTTTTGCCTCTTGACCCCGGTTGTTTGAAGATTTGAGAACGCTATCCACTGGATATATCTCAATCCAATAGATAGCACAAACGTTTACCTGTCACTTATCAGCCGGATAGCAAATTAATCCGTTGGATACCGTTATCCGGCCCTGATACAACTGGGCCCTGAATTATAAGGTTTGTGTGTGCTTAAAGTAAAAAACAAAACGTCATCTCACAAAAGGGCTTCGCAATATATTATATCGCATTGAATGTAACCCCTGTCTGGTTTCCTCGTACACTGAAAAGTGCAGCTCAAAGATAAGGGGACCAAAATATATACAAAAAACCAGTAGAAGACGAGTCTATGACCAGACGCAGATTAGCCTCAACAGACGAACCAGAAGCGTCTAACAGTAGACGCATCTGCTTAATTAGTATATATGAGCTAGCTAATTGTTTTCTCCATCGTGGAATGGTCATTTTTTTATTGCAATAGGCATTGTATTTGCAGTAAAAACTGTTGGTTAAACTGCACCGCATATCTGTCGATCGGTCGGTCACAAGAGAACATAGCGAACTGCTAGTACCATTTCAGCATTGTTAAATCCGTTTCTAAACTTTGGTTTGCTTTTGTTTTTCCAAGGGGAAAGGCCTTTCACGTGCCCATTCCCAGACTGTGGACGGTCCTTCACCACATCAAACATAAGGAAAGTACACATGAGGACTCACACGGGTGAACGACCGTATGTCTGCGAACACGAGGGCTGTGGACGGTCCTTTGCTAGCGCCACTAACTACAAGAATCATTCAAGAATACATACAGGTACATTGGCATTATTGGTGGTGTCAGATTTAGACAGAAAAAGTCAGATTTGTCACTTTTCTTTAGACGAATCGTTTAGGTTTCACGGGGGTCTAAAGGTTACAAGCATCTTATGGTGGTTTACTTTCCTTTGGGTCGCAGCGTAATCCTGCTAAAGCAAGAAAATTAATTTGGTTAAAAGAGCCGTCTAAGCTCAACCTTAGGGAAGGGTTAGACACTTGGAAGCGACTCTCACTTCGCGTCTAAGCACATAACCCAGGCCAGATCATAGAGTTCTCTACGCATAGTTGTAGAGCAACGGAGCGCGGAATTTGAAGTTTTATTTTCGATTCCTCATTGGAAAGTTAAATATTTTTGTATTTTTTTGTTTGTTTGTTTGTTTGTTTGTTTTATTTGTTTGTTTTTTTAAGCCTTGAACAACATTTTTGCTCATTTGTTTTATTTACAGGAGAGCGGCCATACATTTGTCAAGTAATTGGGTGTAACAAGCGCTTCACAGAGTATTCCAGTCTGTACAAGCATCACGTGGTCCACACCCATAACAAGCCATACACGTGCAATATCTGTAACAAGACCTACAGACAAACCTCCACGCTGGCTAATCACAAGAGGACCGCTCATTGCGATATAGCTGACGTTGATAATCTGGGTGAAGGTGAGAAAGCTGTGGTTTTTCTTGTGGGTGATGTAGTAGTCTGGTGTGACAGTAGCATGGAGATGTGTCAGTTCACAGGGTCGCTTTCGTAGCCGCTTCGTGGCGTCTATGCGATTTTCTCGACATGGCGAAAAGAAATCAAAATCAAACCCGAGTAATAAGTTTCGAGTGTTTCCCTGTTTCAAAAACGTGATTGGCGTTTTATTCTTTTTGAAACTGGTAACTAATGATTTTGGACAGTTCTTGTGTTCATAAAGTAATTACAGAAATTGCGTCTTGCCAGTAAAATGTAATCAGTCAATCAGTTGCCGGCTTACCCAATAGCCCACAAGCAGGCTGTCATCATTAGTGATTCAGTGCACGCATTCCTTTGCAAGCGAGAGGACTGCAAGTGCAGTAGGTAATTTTAGTGCCAGATCCCCGACAGCCTTCTCCCCGACTTCTCTCAAATCTTCCTGTTGGCGTATGTCTTGCTGCGCTAGCGATGAAGGCGTGCTGGCAGGCGTCTTACCCGGCAACAGCGTAGGGCAGGCGATGTCTGTTTGCAGTGTGTCCCTATAAGTAAATCTTGCCATTCTTCCCAGGTGAATATGACGTAGGTCACGAAGAGCCCTCAAACAAACGTCAGCGGTTGGAATACACAGAGACTATCTCAAGTAACCAAGCTTTCGCGCACGGTGTGCCCGTCGTGATAGCCGACGAAGCTTCAGTAGCCGCGCTTCAAGCCATGGACGGCAACCTGGCCGACATTCAGCACCAAATAGCTGAAGGTGGTCACGTGACTGGCCACATTGCCATTCCTGTTGCCATAGCATCCGATGCTGCCATCCAAGTGGAAGGTAGCCTCGAGCATGCCGTGACACTATCACAAGGGGTGCAACAGCTTAATTCCACCCTTGCTGATAGCACAGGACACGAGCTGGACATGTCGTCAGTGCAGGTTGTCTCCGCACCGCAGACAGTGGTAGTGACGTCGCTAGAGGCCGTAACGGGGGCAGGTCAACATTCGGAGACTGTGGTCGTGACCTCTTTAGATGGGGTGACGACGACTGCTAGAAGAACGCATGATGGGTTTACCATTGTCACGGTGCCTTCTCAAGGAGGAGCACTGAGTATTGGTGAGCAGGAAAAAGTGCAAGGAGGGGAAGAAGACGACGAAGCTCAGAATGATGGGCAGACAGCAACCGAGGATGACTCAGGTAGTTATTTAGACATAGTATGTCAAATGTCGGAAGAACTGTATGCTCTCCAAGCAATGAATGTTGACGGGAAGCTTAATCGTCTCAACAAAGAGGGAGAGGCGATTTTCCGTAGGAGAAAAACAATCTGTGTTGAAATCTGGATATTTTGATTTTAACAGGGGTACTGCAATCCCACGAGCCTACTTTGAATGCTGCTAAGGCTGCACTGGATGCTGTGCTGGCCTCACAGCTGCAACAGAATGACGTCATCAACAGCGACGACCCTGATTCAGCTTCAAACGCAGGGACCACCCCTATGACTACTGCCGTGGCTTATCAGGCGTGAAACAACCAATAAAAATTCGTTTTGGTGTTCACAACATTAGCTTTCAAATGGTTTGCGTAGTGGTGCAGTGGATCTGTTATTATGCCTGACAGCCATTAGTGTGAAATATTTTGTAGTCATTTTTGTTTATTATTTAACTTATTTTTCCTTTTGGCGTATTTTACATCTCAGTCGAGTGTCGACTTTTCTTTCTATTTTACTTTTCTTCTGGTGGCAAAATAGCTAACGTTTATTCCAAGGAAGGAAAAAACAATTAGAAATTGTGGACATGTAAATAAAAAAATCTGCAAAACTTGCTGATGTGCAGTTTATCTAACAACCTCACTTTAGTTACGATATTATTGATCAAGGGCCATAGCTAGCCTTTTGCCTAAGGCCTATGCAAGAGAAGATCACTAGACATGGCTTCATCGCAGGTAATGTTCTCTGTTAAGAACCCTAAATACCTAGTTGTCCTGTCATCCGAGTAAAGCGAACTGAGAAACAGAATAACCTCAGAAGGAAGTGTCACTGTTTCTAGCAAGGCTACTATCCTCTTTGTGGAAGGGGCGTTACTAAAGATGTCAAATAAAGCTTTGGTGATCTAAACATGCAATATTACTACGATTAGAGTTTATTTTAATTGAGAACCTCCTGAAACACCGAAAAAGGCGGTGGACTTGATGCAATTGGTTTTTGGTCTATATCTTATCGGTGGCAAAATTATTCTCTGCAATTCACAGAACGTTGTAAAGCGAAACCAAAGCAATCTCGGAGTAATCGAGACTCGTTTGAGAATTGCTTCATATCGAGACAAGATTACGGGATGTGTAATTAAGTTTCTTTGCAATCCCAAGCTGGGTAAGTTGCAAGAGCCAACAACAACCCAGTCGATGACGATTAGCACGTGCAAATTTATTACTAATATGTATGGAAACAAAACGTGTCTTAAAATTGGGACAAACAAAATTTTTTCTAATTCAGAAACATCACTTATGGTATTTGAACAGTCATTCGTGGAAAAGATTTCCGTATACCCCCATAACAATCAAACACAGCCGAAGTCCCAGAGGTAATCTGTTGTTTTGCTTCTGTTTTCTATTATCAAAGAATCGTATGCATAATGAAGTATGGGGTTCTATGGAAATCTTGCCCATTCGTGAACTTGCTGCGACGGATTTCAGAACTTCCTCCGAGGTTTGTCAAGGACCAAAGTACGTAAGTGAAATTCCTACATCCTTAATGTTTCGGAGATTGTAAATGTAAACACCGAGGGACATTCTAACAACAATCGCATGCAGAAACATTTCAAGTTCACAAACTGAGCTGAAAAAATGGGCCAAATTTCTAGGGCAACGAATTCAGCCGAAAATTATAATGTACGAAAAGGTGATGTGATATATCAGAATTTCTGTACCTACAGATAATATACACAAAATAGCTCGGGCTTCAAACTTAAAAATGACTAAATTCATAGACGCAATCCAACTTTTTTCCTTCACCTACCTCTGTTCTTGAAAATAATATACGCGTCGAATCGCGTGATTTCTTCGCGTGACGCCCTCTGAAGCGTCGTTCTCACTCACGCAGATTTTCAAGAACTAACGGTCATCCTATATTTCGGATACCCCATGACCATCTATGAAGGAATGTTCAAAACCCCAGTATAGACGTTTACATAGATCAGGGTTTTTTTTTAATATTATACTTGTTTCGAATCTCGTCCCTTCGGTGTTGCCGTGCCTCTCTGTTTTTAGCGTTTTGATCATCTCTTTCACTCATCGCTTGTTTTCTGAAAGAAAGAAATTATTATTCTGATGAATGTTCCTATTATTTCCATCATTGGTCGTAGTCTCCCTGATATTTGATGGCAGTCACACAACACCATTTCGTGAGCATCACGCAACATCTTCAAAACACCATGTTTAATGCAACATAACTTGGGCCAGTTGGTCCTTTTTCTTCCAACAATGATCAATGTGAAAGTTCTCTCAAAAATTTTTATGCACTGTTGGGCAGAGCGGTGGTGACAATTAGAGATTAATATTATTACCTTAATGCTTAAAAAAAGATTCTCAGGAAATGCTTACAAAGGAATAATGTGTCATCCTCACTCTGGAGAGTTACGTTCTGATCTTAAAAGTGAAAGGTTCAAAAAGTTATGAATCTGCCGCAATTGGTTCTAAAACAGACCTCATCTGTAGACCCTCCCACACAATGAGAAGACTTAGTCTAAGGAACGTTCTCTTGGCTGTTTCTTCCTTGGCCTTTCACGCAATGATTTAGACTTCATGAACATGTCGTAAAGCGCAATATTTCTTTCTTCCTTGCTAAAAAAATGAAAATTTTACCTTATCTCCTCGTCACTCGGAATAGGTTCTGCTTGAGCTCCTCCAAAACATGACCCAATGCAACATGTTGTGGCAGCAAATAGATTACCAGGCTCGTTTCCAATATACTCATTTTGATAAAAATATCCTTGTTTTCTTTGATAACAAAATCACACTATGAGTTAGACGTGATCAATGACCTCTTGATAGAGGACAGTTAAAACAATATTTGTTTAATCGGTTCTTTAAGCGCTAAAATTAAGGGTGCTATTCATACATTATGTCGTTTCTATGGTAACATTTTTTAAGGGAAAAAAAGTATGTTGGCCAAGTTTTGGTAATTGATAGAAATTAATTTATCGGGAGATCATCAGCGATGTGTCAGAGAGGTGTTAATTTATCAACGTATATGGACCTCAGTGCTTTCCAATTTTTTAACGTTACCGAGGGTGACTCGGAGCCCTGACCCTATTTCATGCGAAAAAAATATGAAAACTTGTTCCACAAAAGAAAGGTACAAAATCCACAGACCCACCCTCATAAAAGCAGAAAGCAGCAAGATTACGCAATTTATATGGATTTTCAGTTTCGACACTTTTATAGAAGGTGAAGCGTAAGGGATTTCGAAGTGTCAATATGTACTTTGAAAACTTTTGGCCTTGCAATATTCAATTCAGTTCGGGAGTTGTGGAGAAGCTGTTGCCCATCACGCGTCACGAACGTTACCCGTCAGTCTTGGCAGGCTTGTTTTGACCTTCTGTTTTTAGTTCTCCATTAAACCACACGTGCTTTTATTCTCGTTGTCTGCTGTCTCTGTTCACGGCTTAATACAAAGCGTGCGAGGTTTGTGTAATAGATAACCAGTGTATCTAAAAGATAGCAATGCAGCAGCACATTCTGTTGATAGTGACATGATTTACGCAGTGATTCATCTACCTGCGTGTTCCAAGATTTACATGGAGAAGCGTAACTCTGAAGTTATTTTCTGCGGGAGAGAAAGTATTCTTAAAAACAGAGAAAATAACGCGCGTACAGAAGTGAACAGGTTCGGTTCCATCGACAAACTATCGCTGGTTTAGGGAAATCAATTTTTAGCGACACTACTCACACTTCTCCGTTAGCGTGTGTATAAACTCCGTGACCGTGCATTTGATTCCATTTCCATTGCCCTTTGTACATATCGCCATTTTCGTAAAGATTTGTTCCTTCTCCGTGTTTGAAACAAAGCAAAGTTCCACCATCATAGCGCATAATATCTTCATAATCTTCTCGTTTCACTGAAAAACACAGGCCCATTTTGTAGTCGTCGATTTTGTGTTTTTGTTCTGTCCTTTCGACTAAGCAAATTGTATTGAAAATGTAGTAAAACTTCTACTTCCGGTGATTGCGTGACCCACATGACACAAGCATGCCCCTTCCAAATTTGGGTTTGTAATATTCACGATGCCGTCACGAGTTTCCCACGATCGACACTGGGTTGGTCATTGATTTTTAAAGAATAAAACGTCACAGACTATGAACGCCTAGTTCTTCCCTATGTACATAAAAGGAACAAAAACGCTAAAAGTAAAAATTTGTCGTGACTGCGAGTTGCGTTACGGAAGTTTCTTTTTTCCGGTGATGACAGCTGGACGTCAAATTCGCCCGTTTGAAGCTTGAGTCCTCTGATATATGAGACGAGTAGTGGGAGTGTGGGAGAGTGAGAGGGAGAGAGTCAAAGAACGAAGAATTGTGACAGTTAGGCTGAGTGCTGGGCCATTAAAACTGTTAAAATCAAGAAATTGTGAGTTTCTTTGTCGACGAAAACCGATTCCCGACAAAAGTGGCGACCCTGCTAGGACCGACTGAAGATATTCATAACTTTGATATCGATTTGTACCCGTAAAAAACACACCACAGCGCACAGATAACGTGAAAACAACATGTCGGAGCTGGAACAAGCGCTGAAGAAGATTGACTCTAAATTCCGGCTATTGGAATTCACGCGAGATGACGTCCCCAGAATTCAAGAAAAGAATATTTGAAGGCAAAAGAGCGATTGCAGAAGACTTTGGAGAAACAGATCGATAGCGTTCACGAACAGATGGTGGAAATACAAACACTGAAAATAGAGAAAGGAGAAGAACCGGACCACGTGCGTAAATGGAGCTTGGGGATCGAAAAAGAAGTCGCAGAATACGAAGAGATAACTCAGGATGTTAGGAAAACCGTCAAAAACCCACGTGAAGAAGCCTCACGGGAAGCGAAATGGGAAGAAGAGAAGGCCGAAGAGGAAAATCGCAAGCAGCGTTATGAAGAAGAGCTTAAATTTGAGGAGGCGAAAATGCAGATTAAGAGAGATTTTGAGAAGAAAATGGAAGAAGATCGGAACAAGTCCGTGAAGGAAAGCGGTGCAAAGCTGCCAAAATTAACTATAACTAAGTTCCAAGGTACCCATTTGGATTGGCTACGATTTTGGAGTCAGTTCGACACCGAAATAGATCAAGCTGCCATTACGCAAGTGGCAAAGTTCGCGCACCTGAAAGAGCTCCTTGTCCCGAAAGTTCGATCTGCCATCGATGGCCTACCTTACAACACCGAGGGATACGAACGTGCTAAGGCTATCTTGACAGCGAAGTACGGAAAACCGAGTGAAGTCGCCAACGCCCACATCCAGCGTATTATTGCTTTGCCTACCGTACAGGGATCGCAGCCAGCAAAAGTACACGATTTTTATGGAAAACTGGCCACAAACGTTCAAGCACTCGACACGATGAGAAAAATAAAGGAAATCAACGGATATGTTAGAGTCACTCTGGACAAATTACCTGGTATCAGGGCTGACCTTGTTCGCTTGGATGACAACTGGCATGAGTGGGCGTTCCCTCACTTCGTAAATGGTGTGACAGGAATCCTTTAAACTCTCCCGACCAACCAAACAAGTCGCGAGACAGATTCTTCAACTCAAGGCAAGAAGATTATCGACAGAGACCGTGCGTTTATTGCAATTCAACCAGCCACAAGTCTGTTAACTGTGACAAGATAGCGAGTGTCGGAGACAGGAAGAAGCATCTCAGTGAGAGAAGGTTGTGTTTTAATTGCACTGGCACAAGACACAGAGCTACAGATTGTCGTATTACTAGAGGCTGCCAGAAGTGTCATGGAAGACACCATACATCAATCTGTGGCAAAGAGCACCAACAGTTACTACTAGCCACATTTGAAGATGAAGTTGTTTACCCAGTGGTAGTCGTCAACGTGAATGGGATAACATGCCGAGCTTTATTGGACACAGGGGCCGGAAGCTCTTATGCTTCAGCTACATTGGTCAAGCACCTTGGGAAACAACCAGCCAGAGCAGTGTACAAGAAGATTGACATGATGCTGTGCTCAACTAACCAGAAAATTGAACAGTATGATGTCAGCATTTCAAGTATTCAAGGGAAATTTGAGATGACAACGATGGTGAGTAAGGTCGATAAGAGTGTCCTTCTATCAATTCCAAATCCCAGATACGCTGATAAGATCAAGACATTTTCACACCTCGCGGGTGTTACCATGGATGATGAAGATACCAAGCCCGAACTACCAATTCATCTAATACTGGGAGCAAGTGAGTACTCCAGAATAAAGACCCACACTAAGCCGAAGATTGGCAAGGCTGGTGAACCGATCGCTGAACTAACTACACTGGGGTGGACCATGATGTCGGCAGGCAA